TGAGTTACATCCCTGCATCCCACAATGAAAGGAGAGAACCAACTCCTGAAAGTTGGTCTTTGACTCCACAAACACGCCAGGCAAGCACACGTATATGAACATACATACATACCCAAATAACAATAAATAAAAGAATTCTTAATTTTAAAAAATTAAGTCTATAATGTATGCTCTGAAGTAGTTTAAAATGTAATTATTTATGAGTCAGTGTGCATGGAATTCAATACAAGAATATAATAAATGTTCTTGTTCTGAGGCCAAACCCAGTGAGACCACAGCAATGTGCTTTACCTGTAGTAAGCTATGAGAAATATTTTTAAAATCACTGGTTGTGAGCAATTACTTTTCATTGAAGTTAGACTCCATATTAAATACTGGGCCACCTTAATCCAATTTCGACCCCTTTCCCCATCTGCATTTCCCTATAGTTGCCACTACACACTGAATTTCATGCATTCTGTCATGTGTTTACTCAAAGTAACCTAAAGAAGAGCTTTCTCATGTGTAACACTGGTACTTTAAGGTACTAATCCTCCCAAGTGGAACTACAGTGTAGTGCTGGCCTGCCACCATTTCTCTCCTCCCCTTTGGGTCCTGTATAATTGAGTTGACGTGGGTCCTGTGCTTGATGCCCAATGGCCACAAATTCACGTGTTCAAGCTTCCAGTGGCCTGACAGCCTCTGCTCCCCTGTGTCCATGAATTAGTCCTTGCTCTGACAATCTTTCTGCCTCCTCTTCCACAATGGGTGGGTGAAGTTCCATATAGCAGTCCTATCCTACACTCTGCAATCACTTATTCTTTAAAACTTGGCCAGTTGTGGCCTTCTGTGTGCATTGCACTCTCTTGTATAAGGAAGCTTTACTGGTGAAAGTCGAGGGATGCAATAGCTTTCTTTTTATCCCTTGTTCCACTATGTTCCATAAGCCTTTGTTGTAGAAGTTCAACTGTAGGTGTGTCACCTAGTACTGGACATATGTTCTGACGAATTTGGGCACAAATGCTTGACTGAATAGGACTTAACATATATGGCAGGAAGCCTTGTTCCGCTATGTTCCATAAGCCTTTGCTGTAGAAGTTCAACTGTAGGTGTGTCACCTAGTACTGGACATCTCTCAGACATATGTTCTGATGAATTTGGGCACAAATGCTTGACTGAATAGGACTTAACATATATGGCAGGATACATGAGCTCCAGCGGGGTATAGGGAAGGTATGGCTGGGGTCTGGGGTCTAAATTTGATAACTGTTATATGAAAGTACAAAAGCTCAATAAAAATATATTAAAAATAAAAAATGGTTCCTGGAGCCACCAGCTTGCCTGGGTGTGTTTGGCTGCTGTGCCCACTTCCCCTTCATTCCCCTAGGCTCATTCACCCTCTCAGCTTTCCCATCCTATCTCTCCTCCTACAAAGGGGACTGGCACATTTCCTGTCTTGGCCTCCCAGACCTCAGGATGACCTCTTGGCCAAAACTCTGCACTGCTTCCTCATCTTTTGCTTCCAGAACAAACCAATTAATCCCTCTAGTCACCACCCCCCTTTGCATCTTTCTGCAGCCCAGCCCCATAGCATCCTGGAGCCACAGCTTGCCTGGGTAAGTTTGGCTGTTCCCACTCTGTCTTGATGCCCCCAGCCTCATTCATCCTCCCAGCTCACCCACCCCATCTCTCCTTCTAGCAGGGGCACTGGTCCATTTCTTGTCCTGACACCTCAGACTCTTGGACTGACCTCTTAGCCCACAATCCCCACTGCTTCCTAACCTTTAATGACCAGACCAACCTATTTCCTTCCTGTAGTCCCCAGGTTCCCAATGGCTTCTTCTCACACCCTCCTCCCTTTGCATTCTTTGGGGCCAGCACCATTCTTGGGCCCTGCTCCCAGGCCAGCCCAGCCCTCAAATTACTCAGGCCAGGTCTGGAAGGATTCAGACCTTAGGAGAAAGCCTGAGAGCATCTGATCCTCATCCGACTTGGGTCTCTGTGGGAACTCCTGAGCAGCAAGAGGTAAGCAATTTGGCCCCTCCAATATAAAATCAAAAGAGAGATCCTGAAGCCTTGACCAACCAGCTTTTCATGCCCAAGGAGTAAACCACAAAGGCACATAAAGTTTACAAAAAGAAGTAGACCAAAACTCAACAAAGGAAGGCTTGAGTCTCATACAAGAACCAGAATCTACAAAAGAAATTCACATGTCAATATCACAGAGAAAAAATAATAACATGAAAAACCAAAATAACATATCCCCACCAAAAACCAGTAATACTCTCGAGGAGCACAATGAGAACCCCCTAGAGACAATGCAGGACATGGAACTCAAAAGAACAATTTCAGGGAATTTAAAGAACACACAAAGAAATCCAAAAACTGAAAGAAGATAGGGATAAAGTTCTGAATGAATTTATAGAGTTAGAAATATTGAAGACTGCTCAGGCTGCAATTAAGAAGGAAATGAAACACTCACTAAACCAATTAGAAAAGACAGGAGAAACCCTCAGTAATAGGATGAATGAAATGGAAAACAGAATATCAAGATTGGAAGATAAAGTGGATGAGTTAGACCACTCAAGCAAAGATTATGAAAAGTTTAGGAAAACACAAGAATGGAATATGCAGGAAATGTGTGACACCATAAAAAGACCAAACTTATGACTCATAGGCATACAGGAAGGAGAAGAATCCCAAAATAATAACTTACATATCATAGGGATAGAGGAAAGAGAAGAATCTCAGGATAATAGTATGGACCAGACTTCAACAGGACTGTAGATGAAAATTTTCCAAAATTAAAGAAAGATAGCCCCATACAAATACAAGAAGCACATCGAACACCAAACAGACAGGACCAGAAAAAATACTCTTCACTGCACATCATAGTAAAAACACTAAATATACAGAACAAACAGAACACTGAAAGCTGCAAAAGAAAAACAATAAATCACATATAAAGGAAAACTCATCAGAACTACAGCTGACTTTTCAATGCAAACTATTTAAGCCAGAAGAGCCTGGACCAAAGTATTACCAGTTCTAAATCGCAACAGATGCCAAACCAGATTACTTTACCCAGCCAAAATATCTGTTATAGTTGAAGGGGAAAGAAAAATGTTCCATGATATAAATAGAGTGAAAGAATTCATGTTCACAAAACCAGCCCTTCAGAGAGTTCTTGAAGCAGTACAAAAGAGCTGAAGAATGGAATGAATATACCCCAGGGGTTACTGAAAGAAACCTAATGAAATTATAACTATAGAAATGCATCCAAACCAAGAATGTGGACAGAAATATAAATGACAGGTATCAATACACATCTTTCATTAATAACTTTAAATATCAACAGAGTGAACTCCCTAGTCGAAAGACACAGACTAGTTGAATAGATTAAGAAACAAAACCCATATTTTTGTTGTCTTCAATAAATTCATCTCACTTTCAAAGGCATGCACCAAGCAAATGGTACTAAGAAAAAAACAGGTGTTACAAATCTAATATCTGAAAAAGTAGACTAAAATTATCCACAAGAGATAAAGAGGGCCACTTCATTCTGATGAAAGGTACAATTCACCAGGAAATATTAATTATGAACATATATTCACCAAACTCTGGTGCACCCAACTTCATAAAATCAGTACTACAGGACTTTAAGACCCATATTAATCCCAACTCATTAGTAGTGGGGGACTTCGATACCCCATTGTCTCCATTAGATAGGTCAACAGGACAGAGAATTAACAGTGACACATCCGAATTATACAATACCATATATCAAATGGGTCTAACACATATCTACTGAATATTCCACCAAAGCACCAAAGAATATACTTTCTATTCAGTGAGCCATGGAACATTCTCCAAAATAGATCATATACTGGGGCACAAAATGTACCTCAACAAATACATAAAGATTGAAATAATTCCATGCATTCTATTAGACCACAATGCAATAAAGCTTAAAATCAGATGGAGAAATGGCTCAGTGGTTAAGAGTACTGACTGCTCTTGCAGAGGACCTGGGTTTGATTCACAGTACCCACAAGGTAGTGCTAACTGTCCTTAACTCCAGTTCAAGGGGAATCCAAAGCCCTCTTCTGACCTCCACAGCATTGCATGACATGGGTGCACTCACATTTATGTAGGCAATACACTCATATACATAAAATAAAAATAATAGATAAAATATTTTTAAAAGCTTAAAATCAACAACTGGAGAAACCCTAGTAACTACATGAACATATGGAGATTAAAGCACACACTCCTGAATGTTGAATGGTTCAAAGGAAAAGGAGAAAAGAAATAAAAGTATTCCTGGAACTAAATGTAAAAAGATAATACAACACAATAAAACACCTGGGTCACACTGAAAGCAGTCCTTAGAGGGAAGTTTATTGCTCTAATTGCCTAAATTAAAAATTTATAAAGCACACAAATAAATGACTTAACATTGCAACTCAATTATGTAGGGAATACACTCATATACATAAAATAAAAATAATAGATAAAATATTTTTTAAAAGCTTAAAATCAACAACTGGAGAAACCCTAGTAACTACATGAACATATGGAGATTAAAGAACACACTCCTGAATGTTGAATGGTTCAAAGGAGAAATTAAGAAAGAAATAAAAGTATTCCTGGAACTAAATGTAAAAGATACTAACCAGGTCGATAATCTATCACTGAATT